CAATGAATGGATAAAGAAAATGTGTTTTATTTAATATAGTGCAGTACTATTCAGGCATAAGGAAGGAAAAACGTGAGACATTTCCAGGCACATAGGGCCATTTCTAGGCACTTAAGACCATATTTATGAGTGAAATAAACTGAACACATGGGTATAAACATTGCATTGTTTCTCTAGTGTGAGAAAACAAAAGAATAAATAAGAACCAAAATGTACACTAGGCGTTGAGAAATGGGAAAAAGTGCCCAACTGAGAAGACTAACTATGGAAGGGGAAAGGGGGAGGAAAGAAGGGAAAATAAAAAGGTGTGAAATGAAGGAAAAAATGGAACAAAGACTCTGTAAATAAGGAAGCAAAGAGGGGATGAAGGGAGGGCAGGGGAATGGAAAGTAAAAGAATCAAGATGTATCATGTACAGGGACAAATGCCCTGTGATAAATGTGCCCAACACATCCACCTAAAATGTACCAACAAACTTGATTAATTAAAAATATACAAGCCATTCAAGAAGACTGAGAATCAAAATAGCCTTTTACTTTCTGATTGCAATTCTGAAATTCTGAATGCAGTGAAAAATATCTGAAGCAATTAATTCTGAAAGAATATTATTTTTATTAGTTGGACATTTTCTAAGCCTGCTCTTTCTAGTTATAATCATGCAAACAAACCAAGAAAGAAAGTGGAGAAAAAGGAAACTAAAATATCGAAGATAGAATAGAAGGATCGAGATCCTTTTGAACAGAAATCATGGGAATCACAGGTGTTTATCAAATACAATGGGGAGCCAGCTGAGATTGACAAGGATGAGAAGATCCTTGGAAATATTTCTCCAAGAAAAGGAAATGAATGAGAAAGCCAGTATTATGAACATATTAAAAGTTTATGTGATCAATACATTGCAGAATACTTAGTCAATACACTGCAGAGATTTAGAGGTTGAATTGTTGATAAATAGAAATATCATACAATTTTAAAAGTAGATGATTAAGAATATATATATATATATATATATATATATACTCGAAATTTACTACCTAGCTCAACCATGAAAATATTCATAATAAAATGTATTTTCCTAACCAAAATAATGATATAACTGTATACCACAATATATGGGGAGATTGGGTATGAAAAACAGCCAAATCTGTCTCTATTGTAGTTAATAATTAATTGATAAAAATTTAAAAATTTATGAAATTGTGATACAAATGTAATTTGGAGGTAAATATGTGAACATTTTACCATAAGAGTTGAAACATTTTTTTCTTTGGGTAGGTGGGTGTGAGTAGGTGGCAAGAGAGAAAAGAGATGCTATTTGTCATAATAAACTGAGAATTATGTAATTCCAAACTATGTACACAGGTAGCATTGCTTAAAAAATGACTTGGGAGGGTATGGGACACAGCACATTTCTGACAAGTACAAGGTCCTGAGTTTGATTCCCAGTACAAAAACGAAAACAACAACAAAATTAAAGACTATTCTTATAACTATAAATCACTGTAATCACCCAACTCAGCACATAGCAATTAACCTTACACTTCTGCATTCTGCATATAAAAATACATTTAGAATTTGGGCATAAAGAAGGCAATAAAACAAAATCCTGAGTGTATATTGGGCTCAGTAGAATAAACGTTTGCCTGGAAAGCACAGGGACCTAAGTTCAATCCCCAGTACCACCACCAAAAAAAAAATTGAATGCATATTGCTTAGGGTCATGTAGCACCCTTTTCTCTCTTCCTAGGTAGATGTATGCTCTTCAGTGCAGTCCATGAACTTCAGAGGATTTGACCCAGCCCTGTTCCAAGGGCACCCTGACTATCTTCAGACATAGTGAGTGGCTGGAGATGGACTCATGACCTTCATGGGGTCAATCCAAGGAGGAGACATGAGAATTTCCAGGGAGGAAGTACTCTTGGTTTTCCCAGGGGTTACTCAAAATCCCATTCCGATTTCCTTTGGGAATTTTGACCTAAGGCAATAGCCTTGGAAGAGGCTGCATCCATTCCTGCTGCCATGAAGACCTGCCAGCATGAAAAAAAGATGAGTCCTGGGAGATTCCCAGAGAAACAGACTTGGCTGCAGCCTCCTTCTAAATTTACAGCCATGCATACTGCTGCTCTGTTCATTTGTGCAGACTAATCCATTTCTGTTTTAGATTAAACCAATCTCAGTAGAATTTTTAAAAGTATTTACATGGGAGATAATATTTGCTCATATAAAGGTTGTTAAAGTTAGGAATAAAGGAAAAGCTGGAAAAGACTTTCAGTAAAGATTTAGGTTTCACTTTTCCACGGAGGACCCAAGTCACATGCATAAGCTTTCAAATAGGAATCTGCCTTGTTCAAATAGTCATCTCTCAGTAATGGTGGGCTCCAGGCTCCCTCCACTTCCCCCTGTTCTTACATGTCTGAGAAGTCTCTAATGTGTTATACAAAATGACATAGCACTTACATATAACCAACACATGTGCTCCACATCATCTATGGGTTACTTACAATATCTATTATACAAGCTATGCAAACAGTTGGGCAATTTGTATTTTCTAGGAAATAATGACAGAAAAAAAGGAATCTGAACATATTTAATTCAACCACAATGGGGTTTTTTTTTTCAAGTATTTTCAATAGAGTTGGTTGAATCTATAGTGAGGAA